TTATAAGAATATAAGAATAACAATTTATCTTAATTCAAATGCATTTTTGTCCATAACATTTTATGTAGCAAAGAACATGCATGACTATTTTGCATAAAAAACAGTGCTAGGGAAAGCATTATGTAAGCAATTAATTAAGATAATACAAAAAGCATTTACTTTTTTTTCAGTATGCTGTGCTATAAACTGATCATGAGGAGTTATTCCAAAGGTAGTCAATTACTCATTAAGATACTGTAGGGGCTTGAGATGACTCGAGATAATTCCTAAGGCAGCAGTGCGTGGAAGAAGAGATACAAAATAAACAAAATAAGCCTGTTTTTGTCTAAGGCCTTCTTAATAAGAATGTATTTCATTAAAAGTTACGTATGGTGAAATTTCAAAACGCTTTTATGGCACATCAGGAAAAAAGTGTAAGGCAGTATGATTTGTCCCAATGTTGAATTAGGTCACGGTACTTCACACATTATCTTCCCTCAAGTTTCTCATTTTTAACTCCAGAAGGTTTTATGTAAAGCTGACAAGATGAAATGAAGTGGGCTTGTTTGCCTCATTTTCTCCCTCTGTTGTGGAGGCTTTGTTACATCACTGGTATGAAAGCGTAGGTCTCATTGGTGCTCAAGGAGATGCATGGGTGTGTTGCAAATAGGACAGGAAGCTCCATTTGTCAAGCACAGCCCCATTCTCTAAGGAAGTAGGAATTTAAAATTCCTTCTTTTGTTAATGCTAGCTCTTATGTAACACTATGATTATGAATATTACTTAAGAAATTTAAGCTTATAATGGGTCTAATTCACCCTTCACAATTCATTCATTGAATTTAGGGAGGCTTATAAAAAGCTTGTCTTGATAAACTTTTTTGCAGGTAATATTTCCATAAAGAAAAATGTCAGGGCCAGAGACTGTTAATTTACTCATGCCTCAACATGTTCTCTCTCTCTTTGTTTCCATGTATAAATCTCTCCCTACGTTTAAGGATTTAGAAAAATATGATGCTTTATTAGTAGCCTTACAAGTTAGGGTAGTGAGTTTAAAATCTTTTTTGTCCAAATGTTTCCATTCAACTCCAAAGTAAAAATCATAAAGAAGATTGTGTGGGAACAGAAAATCCCAATATCTCATATAACAAAACAAGATCATTCTATTTAAACTTATTGGAGGATACTTGTTATGGAGGTCCTAAGAAAAATTATTCCTTGCAGGCTAAATTAGATGACGCTGTAAGGCCTTAAATTATTATTATTTAATTTTTTTATTGTATTTCAGGTGAAGGTTTACAGAACAAATAGATTCTCATGAAACAGTAGTACACATATTGTTTTACGGCATTGGTTAACAACCCCATGACATGTCAACCCTCTCCCTTCTTGACTGTTTTTTTTTTTTTGGTGAAAATATACATAGTCAAAGATACACCATTTCAAAAATTTCTACTTGCACAGTTCAGTGACATCGACTATGCTCTTCCAATTGTGCTGCTATTCTCACTTTAGATAAAGGTTTACAGAACAAAATAGTTTCTCATTAAACAGTTAGTACACATGTTGCCCTATGACAATGGTTAACAATCTCACAACACATCAACACT